AAAAAAAAAATATTAGTTCAAACGGCAATAAAATTTGTAAAAAAAAGTATTATAGAAGTAATTTTAGTTGACTTACTTTGGATTAACGTTATCCATGGCTCTTTTCAATACTTCCACTAAGCCAAGATGATCAATATCATGAATAGAATAGCAGACCAACCCAAATTTTTCCATTATATATCTGAGCAAAAAATACATTAAATAATTACAAGTGCATGGTGGAAAGCAGAATAACTCAAAGTTATTTCTGGATGGAAAGTAGAATTATTCTCCTCCAATGGAAAACTCTGGAACAACCACCACCCTTTAGGTGATGCAATAATTGTTAACGGGCGGTGTATATTACAGACAATGCATTTTACACGCGTTGTATACGTCACTATTAGTCACATATTGAGCAGGACATGACGCAACAACCATCGCACTTTAATCCATTGTAATAATCTGGAACTATTTTTTAAGAGTAGATGTACCTAGAATACCTAATCTGAGATTATCAATATATAGCTACTCACCTTTCCCCAGGATCTATATCTCGAACTCCAATAAATGCAATATCTTTAGCATGTATACATGTGTTCATCCACTCAAATCCAGGCAATACAGGTACATAATCTTTAAGTTCATGAACGACAAAGGACACTGGAGTACCATGGATATTACCAGTCATTGATGTCAATGGTGTGTTTATGTCAACATGTGCATCAATCCACAGTACACACATATCAGGTCGTGCAGTAGCGTGTCCATGTAAAGTTCCTATTGACATCGCATGATCTCCACCAAGACTAATGCATAGTCTGTTATCATTAATAACATTAGATACTGCTGCAGATATCTGAGGGATAAACCACAAATATTATCAAATGAGCAACTATGGTCTCAGCATATTCTCCCCCACAATGGACATGTTCCCCGGCAGTAAAGTAGAACAGAAATTTTCATGAACATGACATCATGGCATGGCATAGACAAATGTTGATACTAGGAAATTACTAAAAGTCTGGCAACTTTTTAATGAAAATCAACCTTAAATCACCTTATTATTACCGCAAAACACAACTTCATCAATGAAAGTAGAAATTAGCTCAGCCTCTAAAATGTTATTAATTACAACATCATGCAGTGGTGACAATACACAGTGCTGGATATGTTACATGACCATATAATTGAAATTGCATACCAGTAATTTCAATCAATTTGCTGGAGTTTGGTTTTCGGTACTACAAAATGCATTCCGATACACATAAGTTGACACATGCAAAGTTGGATCTGAAGTGGGCTGAGATATTCAAAAACTAGACATTAATTGACTCAGTTTTGACAAAAATTTCAGCACACGCCAAGATTCAAGTCTATCTCGATCTGGATCAAGTTCGCTACTGAGAACAGTGCTCATCATGTAGTACATGCAATGGCATGGCTGGAAACAATGTTGTTTCCCTGTCATAATTATTTGCTTTCCACTGGTACGATTAATACTGCTCCTCACAATATCACCCAGGGTAATCTCCAATATTATGACCCGTGAATAAATTTTAATATAATTATACATAACATGATGATAAATATCACCAATGTCATTGATAATCTTTCATTTAGTATCACTAAATACAGATTAAGGCACTTTTGTTAGTGCAATACTAGACTGTCGACAGTTGGTCGTACCTAATATTAATCTGTTATTATTAATAAATATTGTGTATAAACGTAATAGGCGTGAATAAATTGAGAACGCCGGGACAGGAAGTATGGAGTGCAGTTAGGCAAGACAGACTGTCCGGTGCTGCAATTCACTGGTAAGATTTCTTACAAGATCCGGGTACTTTCGTATGCAAATAACAAGTCGTGCAGATGTCTATCATTTTATCGTGGTCAATTGTGAAAAGAGTCAGGGATCGCCGGCTACTAGGATTGCCCACGACTTACGCAAAGTTTGTTTTGACTATACTATACACGATCGCGACACTTTCCACAGCAGTTTTTGATATCATGTCACAAACAAATCTTGACGTGAACAATCAACGCATTCAGGGGGTCATTTAGAATAAATTTGCATGCATTATGTTAAAATAATTTATTTCGTGACGTCTGCATCAACTATGAATTATTCATATCAACTAGAAACCTGCAGATGGGGACGGTCTCTCAAGACTAAAGTCCCTCGCGTGAAATGGTTCGCATTTCCAATGAAATGCCTAGGAATTTTGAATGTCTCAGAAACGCAATTACATTAGGCCCGAGGACTGTCAACAGTCTAGTACAATACCTGTATAACAAAATTGAAATACGACAGTATTGTAAATAGTGTGGTTGGTACAAAAGTTTACAACTATGAAAAGGTGAATTACTTAGACAGAATGCCAGACAAATATTTACAAAAAACATTCTTTTATTATACATGCAATGTACTACTTTGTGTGTACTACCTTTTTATTAGCAGCTCCAACATTTCTAGGATTTTTTATCAATCCATAAGGTGGATCATCAGCTATATATTCAAAATCAAGATCACCATAGTCTTTCACATCCCTTTCTGAAATCATGAAAATTAAACACAAAACTTGAGGTATTGTCAGAAGAAGCTCACAAATAAGCCAAGCCCTATTGCCAAAATTAATTAACACTGAAAGAAGTAAAATTAATTACTTATTAATTAATTATCAGCACTTTACCTAGATTGTGTATTTTCTCTATTAGTCCTGCATTTCTTATTGCTGCTGGTCCACTTCTTACTCCAGGTTGAGGCTAGAAATGATAAAAAGTACAATTACCGGTAAACGTTTATCACAAAAGATGCACCTTGCGCAAGGTACTTTTTTGGTTAAAAGCCACTTTCATTGCTATTTGAAGTTTATACACAGCTAGTAGTGTTCTCATGCTAAGTAAGTTTCACCCCTCTATCTTCAGTGTATTCAAAATTATTTTTAAGGATTTGTTTTGGCATATAGTTGCAGATGTTTAGTATAGCCTCAGACTTTACTAGTCTGAGGTATAGCAATCAAGTTATTGACAGGCTTCCCTGTGTATTCTCATTGTTAGAATATAGAAGGATTATGGTATCACATGGGTATACTGCTTGATTTGGCACTAACTATTACCCCTCTCACTTGCCTTAACAGAAGATTATCCCTTGTGTAATTATATCGTTGAGACACGCCCCCCCTCCCTGAATGTAGTCCAAAATTCTGTCCAATTCATCAGAGCTAGAACAGCACCCTTGACTGCAGGTTCTTAGACAGTCTGGTTCATGTTAGGGCTCACTTCTATCAGAGTTCAACCAAAAGGGTTTATTGGAGCCAAATTTTAACTCAACTGAACTCATGTTGAATGCGTTTACATAGTTATTTTTGATGGCTTGATCACGCTGTGGCTGTTGAGCTCTGATAAAATACAAGGTATTTATTCTTGGCATGGTGGTAAATCTTTTTGTTTTCAGACAGGCATTTTCTATTTTCAATGAACCATGATTACCGGTACTATGAAATGGAGCTAATTATCATGTGTTATTGTTATGCAAATTAGTCACAGTATTGAGATGTTTTTTCTGGGGAGAACAATACAGATATTTTACCAATAAAAAAATGGCCCAATAAAAGCTTATAAAGGGAGTATACAGATATACTAAAAAGGCAGTTATTGTTTCCCTGTCATAAAACTCAACAGAAAAAAAGTTTACAAGATCACAAGGTCTGAATTTATTGGTCTTCCTACTTAAACTATTATATAGACTATAAATATTATGTAGCGTACTTGTTTTGGTGGAGGTACAACCCACCCTAATTTTCTAAAAGTTTCCTAAAGTGATACAGTTGTTGCACAGAACACATTAAATTTCATGTAAACAAAAACACTGTGACCCAGTGACGATTTGGTGCCTGAACTGTGTCGATTTAAGTACTCTGATAAGCAAAAGATTAATTGTATAAACTATGATAAATATATCAAATCAGGTCTATATTGACACTGATTAACTACAGTAAAATGACTAATATTCACTGGGTTTAAATTTCACTGATTTATCATTTCAGGCATATTCAGTGGGTTTTAAATTCACGGTTTCATCATTTAGATAATGTGTTCTATGCTAAATTTTACATATTCACTGTGTTTTAATTTAGCGCATTTTTCCAGTCAGCGAAATAAGCTAAATTAAAACCCAGTGAATAATTACCCCCTTTACAGTATGGAAAATAAACATCTTACTACAGTACAGTCTGGATAAGCTGGCTTACCTTGCTTTCATAACCATGTGTCGAGTAATGTCTAAATATGTTTTGTATAGATAGGTAAATACCACAAGGAATATTGAAGTTGAAATTATTGATGACAATGATGCTCTATAAAATGCAAATCTAGCTTTTTTAGGGTCTATGCTGATAGCCAGCATGGAAATTAATTCATGTCTGGACTGTACTGCAAATAGTACAGTATTATGAGAAGTTTGTCGTATCAAATACATTCAGTCCTAACACACGTGATGTCACTGGACAAAATTTGAGTATGTTGAATAATCATGCAAGTGTATCCAATGTTTATCAGCACGTGAGCTCAAAGGCGGTTGATAAAGAATGCAATGTTGATGTATGCCCTCCGTAGTATTTGAAGTAAACAATGTCAATACACTTTAACTAACATGCACATTCTGCAAGTCACTGTTGTAGATTTGAAAAATACAATTTATCAATTAGCAGATTACAGTGAAAGGCACAAAGCTGAGAATGTTGTAAACATGAATATAAATTTTTCATAAATCAAAATGACTGGTAGAATTCAAAATGTCCAATCCAGAAACAATATGGTGACAGCATCACACATTTTAATTAACATATTAATGATATTCGATATGAATTTATTGATTTCATTTTCATCCTATTGTCAGAAAATTAGGTAACAGTTTGCGTGTATCAAGTGTCAATCTATTTGAGAAAACTGTTGGCTGAAATATGATAGAAACATGCTAATAACAAATTAATTAATATGCAAATTATCTATTTATTATGCACAGATTCCAAAATACTACTAAACTAAATACTACTATTAAATATTTACACATTGCTAGACATGTATTTCACTACAACAAATGTCGAGACCCAGAAATCATGCCAATTAAGTATTTTTGAGTTTAATTTATCACTGACCAAAGACTACATGTGAATCTGTATTTTTCTCAGTCGAAAGTTCACCATATGGAGCTAAAAGTAAAAAAAAAAGAGCTCCACTACCTATGGTTTGACATAATAGTAGCATCTGATTCTTTCATTTAAAGCACTTTATATTGATTTTGGATATAACAATCAATAAAATGCTTTAAAACCTTTTCAAAAATCTTGTTTTTACAAAAAGAAATCTGAAAAAAAAAATGAACATCAATACGTTACAAAAGATCACCCACATTGTAGGATGAATATATATATATATATGGTTGAAAATATTATGTTGTTGCTCAACACTGGTTTGGTAGGGGGACTGTGGTAGGGGGTGCATGCACGGTGTGGTGAATCAGTTCACCGGTCGCGCCGCCGGTATGTGTATCTCACCTGACCCTTACTAAACGGGAAGCCTATTACTCCAACGTCCTGGTAAAGAAGGCGTCTTTGTTGAGCACAAACATTCGAAAGTAGTCTCACAACTCCACCAATTCTTCGAAGAGCCATCACGAAAACATTCACTCGGGGGGAAAATCAGCTGTGTCGTCTACTACTGTACTCGTCTGGTCGCATTGCGTCAGTAGCTCAACGGCCAATCAACGTCCGTGATACGTCTTACGAGGTACCTGCCCTATACTAAAACCAATCAAATAAAAGAGTTCATGACAAGAAACATAATTATTTTTATATTACAATTATGGTTAATTAGATGTCAATAAATTACGATAAATTAAGGTTCTAATTATATTCAGACAGAAATCATTGCATTACTTTCCACGATGAGAATAATCGTACGAATTTTGTTCTGCAATAGTATACTACTTTCGCGTGTTTTTTTTTTCTTTTCGCGCCAGGTTTCGCGCCAAATTTAACACGTGAACAATCTGAATAACATTTTTACAAAGCTGATTTCAAGATGGCTGGCTTCGACGAGCAAAATATATTCTTCTCCGACAATTTTCAATCTCAAGACAACCAAGATGAAGGCAGAGTCGACAGGCTTGGTACTCAAAGAAGATACAAAGAATTCTTGCGTCAGTTTCACGAGGGTTCATTCAACTACAAATATCGGTAAGTATCTCCTTGTGATCGTAAAGACGCTGTCGGGTAATCGAGTCCAAACAAGCTCTGTCAGAATGTGTTTATATACACACATGAATTGCTGGAATATCTGAAGTATTACACTTCTACTTCCTATTTCATATTATTAGGTTTGTCATGGGAATCACAGACAATGTAATTAGTTCACAATAAACAGATTTAAAATATAACGGGTCATTTAATTTTTAAATACCTTTGTTATGTTATGCATAATGGTATTGATATAAAACTCTTGGAGTACACAGAAAAGATTCAAATATAACACGCAGTAGTGAATTGGGTCGTTATCCACTTATTTTGGATATAAAAGGTTTGATTGTGGAATGCCCAATACGAATGTAAAAATAATTTCTATGATCCATGGTTTGCATTTATTAAGAACTTATTACAGATGACTAACTATAAAATAACTGATATAGACTTGGATGACAGGGAAACTGTCATTTTCGGGAAGTTCTCTAAAATATTTATCTTGATCACTGAAAACAAAAATAAACTTGATACTTACAGTAGTTTTAAAGATGCTTACAAATTTGAGTTATTTGATCCAAATTAAAAACAGAAAACATAGAGTGGCACTGACCAAATTTAGAACTTTAATCCCATTGGGAATTGAAAATAGAGGTGACAGAATTTGTCATTTTTGTAATTGCAATTCAGTGGGAGACATTACTTCACAAAATGTGAGCATCACACTATTAAAGCGAAAGGGTCGTCACCTGCGCATGTGCAGGAATTGAGTCCCAAGCGATAACAACACACTCTAAGAACGCAAAGGCTCATGGGTAGACGCTTGTTTGTAAACAATGACACGCTATGGAGACCCGACACATGCGTAGGTAACGACACTCCGGCTTTAAAGAAAATAGATTAAAATTCCTTGCAGCTTTACTTTTTAGCGGAGCCGTTCATATTACTGATTGTTCGTCGTCAACTTTACATTTTCAACTTCTTCTTCAAAACCACAAGTCAGAAAGTTTTCAAATTTGATATGCTAGTACCTTGGATGGTTCTTTCTCAGATTTGTTCATTTCATGTAAAAA